AAGGTCAAGGCAGCTCTGCCTCCCACAAATGTTCAGAGCTCTGGTCTGCAAACTGACCTGGAGCTTGCTGGTCAACCATAATGTTCAACTCACATGGTTGAAAGGGAGACGATGTTTCAAAAGAAAGGTGGACAGTACCAAAGAAGGACACCCCAAACATTCTCTGGCTTCACACACACACACACACACACACACACACACACACACACACACACACACACACACGTGCTTGCACGCACACTGGGGGGGAGTGTTGAAGTCTGAGAGGAGCATAGGTACCTGAGGACTGTCAATCAGATGTAGTGTTACCACACCAGCATGCTTACCCATTCAAGGGCTCAGTGTTCAGAGGGGCCATTAGGAGGGTCTGTGCTGGCCCATGTGTGGACCAAGGACTTGATTCAGACACTCTACCTTTCTAGAAATGAGCCCCTTATTTCACATCTGGTAGTGACTTTGAGTGACAGGCTTTCTCTTAGAATTGTGGGCTGTGTGACAGTGAACATCATTTAAGTGACAGCAGTGCCAGGGACCAACTTAATTCCATTTCCCCTTTTCAGATCTTCCTAAATCATTGCTGCAGGGAAAAATAAACTTCACTTTCCCAGTCCAAAATGATTCAAATTGTGACGTGTTCTGGAGAAGCTGGGGGCTGAAAGAGGCTTTGTTAGTTAGTGGGCTTAACAGTATTTAAATGACACCATGACAGTCAGTTCTCTGTCACCATAATCAAATACCTGAGGTAATGAACTTAGAGAGAAGAGGGTTATGGTGGCTCACAGTCTTAGAGGTTCCAGAACATGGTGGGGTGGGCCCAAGCATCCGTGAGCGTGCCAAGGATCAGGGGATGGCATGTGTCACAAGAAACTCACTTTTTGTCCAGGGACTAAAAGAGGAAGGGGGGCCTAGGATTTCACACTCCCCCACCCAAAAAGTTTGTCCCAGTGACCTAACTTCCTCTCAACAAACGCCCTTTCTAAAAGACCCTGCCTTTTTCTAAAGCACCACCCACAGAGCCATGACTTCAGGCCTTTGGGAGGACATTTACTCTCTGTCTTAGTTTCCATCGCTGTGGTAAAAATACAGAAGCAATTTGAGAAAGAGTTTATTCTGGCTCACAGTCTATCCTGGTGGGTTTGTCCATCCTGAGAAGCTGGAGCTTGAAGCATCTGTCACATCCCATTGATGGGATGGGATGCAGGCTGATGCCTGCTAGGGAACTGTGCCACCGCCCTCAGTGGGCAAAGTGTTTCCACCTCGACTAATGTGACCAAGGTAATCCACTATAGGCATGCCCAGAGGCTGGTTTCCAGGTTAATTCTAGATTCCATCAAGTTGACAATTAACAGACTGTGGCAAACCTATCTCAGAACTTGTTGCAAATGCCCTTTAACCTGGCGAATGAATTTCATACCAGGATCTTCTTGCTGAGTTGAAGGCGAACAGCGACATGAAATTGTAACCGCTATCTTGGCTAAATGATTTTTTTCTTTAGTGCTCTAACTTAAATAAATGAATGAATGGAATTATTGATTATGCTGTTCCCTGGCTAGTATGAGTTTTTGGGTGAACATCAAAAATTAAAATTCTAAGCTGGGCAAAGGTGGCACATGCCTTTAATGCATGCACTAGGGAGGCAGAGGCAAAGTCTTCCAGTTTGAGGCCGGTCTTGTCTACAGAACGAGTTCCAGGACAACCGGGACTATTACACAGAGAAATGCTGTTTCCAAAAAAGTAAATATATAAATTCTAGACTCTGGAGTCCTGGAATGAGGCAGTCTCAATGAGGATGGAAACTTGCCAATGGTTTTCTCTTCCACCAGCAGATGGTGGCTACTTAGGATAGAAGTTCTGCTAAGAGGGGTCCACCATGCCGCAAGAATGATGTCTGTGGATTGCACCAGGGTGCTACCTGGAAGGAGCACCCAGGTGATTAGTGGAGACATGAAGTGCACATGGAACCATTCTCTACAAGAGGACAGTGGAGAGTGGGCTCTGGGACTGTAGGGAGATGCACGAGCTTTGTCTAAGCTCATGAATTCTTTGCTCCATCCTTGTTCATTAAAGGCACCAGGGGGGCATTGAGGACGGTAGCTCAGTTGATCAAATGCCTGCATAACATGCACAAAGCCCTGGGTTTGATCCCCAGCCACACATAAACCAGGCATGGAGATGCACACCTGCAACCCTAGCACGCCAGAAGCAGAAGATCAAGATCATCTTAGACTAGACAGTGATTTCAAGGCCAGCCTGAAATATATGAGAATATATCTTAGAAAGCAAGCAAGCAAGCAAACAACAACAACAAAATCCAAGGCACCAAAATATGCTTGCCTGTAACTAGAATCTGCATGTGCCTCTACTGCCCATTGGCGCTGGGCCCTGGGCCCTGGGCCCTGGGCGCTGGGCAGGAGCCCAGAGGAAGTCTGACTCATGTGATTGACAGCAAGCAAGCCGGTGGGATTTCCCTACTCCACATCAACCTCAGTTGCACTCCAGCGTCAGGGTGTGATGGACTCAATCATCAGCAAAAACTATAAAAAGCCCCTGTCAGGATGCAGCCGTCCTTTGGGAAGTGTGAATGCAAGGTAAATGAGCAGCTTCTGCAGGGACAATTTTGTAGGAGTGAGAAATTCCACGTTAGAGCAGACTTCAGGAATGACAAGTGAAGCCCAGGACAGCACACGGCTCGTCTGACTGTCACTCACCCCGCTTTGGGGCAGCTTGGGTTTCTGTTTTTTTTTTTTTTTTTTTTTTTTTTTCCCTCACTTGTTTAGACCCTGATAAATAGCCCAGAATTTTGAGTAAGGTATAGCAAGCTACTGCTTTTGTCTTTTTCTAAAGTTAGGCCTGGATGTTCTCAAAAACGAGAGAAATACCTTGAAAAGACATTCTAGGTGTGTAGTATACTGTCTCTGGTTACCATTTGTATTCTGCATCAGAGAAAGGGGTTCACAATGAGGGCTCCTATCAGTCACTTTTCTTGTTACCGTGGGGAAATATACTGACAAGTAGCTAAGGGAGAAAGGATTTGATCTGGGTCACAGTTTTGCAGGTACAATCTGTCATGGCGGAGAAGGCAGGGCAGCAGGGATAGGCAGCGTGGTGCCACGTGCTGTCCACCACCAGGACCCCGAGAGATGAATGCTGGTGTTGACTTTGGTATTCTCCTTCCAACCCAGGACCCGGCCTTTGGGATGGTTCCACACACATTAAGGTGGACCTCCCCTCCTCAGTTAAGCTTCTCTAGAAACCTCCCTCCTTCCCTACCTATCTACACACACACACACACACACACACACACACACACAGAGAGAGAGAGAGAGAGAGAGAGAGAGAGAGAGAGAGAGAGAGAGAGAAAAAGAAAGAGAGAGAGAGAGAGAGAGAGAGAGAGAGAGAGAAGTATCTCCTAGGTGACTCTGAAGCCAGTCAGGTTGATAATGAAGATAAACCTTCAAAGGGCATTGTTAGCTTGATATTTTCATTTCTCATTCATATCAGCTTGCGTGTGGTAGCTAACCTCAAATATCATTCCTCGGGAGATTTCCACCCTGGTTTCTGAGACAGAGACTCTCAGCTTGGAACTTGCCAATTAGGTTAGACTGGCAGGTCAGCCAGCCCCAAGTATCTGCCTGTTTCACATCGGTTCTGGGCATCAAACTCAGGTCTTCATGCTTTTATATCCAGCACTTCACTGGCTGACCTATCTCCTCAGGCCCTCAAACAGCTTCTTGAAAGCCTTTGTTAACATGTAGGCCGAAAAAGCTGAGTGGCCCTTCATCTCCTTGGGTCTGAACCCCACCCCTGCCAAATAAGGCTAGACCTTAGTTAGCATGCTGGATTGGACTGTCCTCTATCCTGGTTAGTGCTGGAGAAAGCTAAAATGGTGATGAAGAGAGAGAAGAGGTCTTCAGTTTAAGAGCGCTTGCTGCTCTCCCAGAGAACCAGAGTTTGGTTCCCAGCATCCGTATCAAGTCAATAACCACCTGGAACTCTAGCTCCATGGAAACCAATGCCCTCTTCTGGCCCTGTAGGCAGCCAGTCACATAACAGACACACACACACACACACACACACACACACACACACACACACACGATCTGAAAAAGAGTCATATGAAAAGATATTTTAAGAATATCTACAAGGGTAGATAAGGAGAGCTATGTCCCTGCACGATGCTGTAGGTTTGCCTCTGAAGGAAAAACCAAGCCTAGTTAGTGTCTAGTTGTAAAGGACCGTCAGACCTTTGCCTTTTGAGAATTTCCTTTCTGCAAATGTTTGACCATGGCCTTGTTCCAGAAGAATGGCTCAGTCATTGGACTTACTTTCTTAGGGCTCACACAATAAATTGCCACAAACTGGGTGGCTTAAAGCAAAACCATCTTATCACTTCACAGACAGGTGGCCCGAAGTCCTAAGTCAAGGTGCCGGGCATGGTGGTCCCTTTGGGCAGTGTACTGGGCAATGTGCCGTGTGCCTCTCAGTCCTCCACACTTTGGTGGCCTTCAGCTTCTATAAAGGCTCTGTCTTCAGGGACTGGAGAGATGGCTCAGTGGTTCAGAGTAATGGCTGCTCTTCCAGAGGACCAGAGTTCAATTCCCAGCACCACATGACATCTCAGAACTGTCTGTAACTCCAGTTCCAGGACATCTGATGTCCTTGTCTGGCTTTCCAAACACACAGGGTGTACAGATATATATGCATGCAAAACACTCTTTAACATAAAATAAGTTGAGAGAGACTCTTAGAAACCTTCCTCTGAGCCCAGTTGACTGTTGCCTTCTGCCTTTACGTATTTTGAGAGAACACAAATGTGGCCAAGAATTTGTGAGTCCGGCAAATACTGCCGAGATGGGGAAGGAACGAGGGGAGTGGAGAGGGGGGAGAGGGGAGTGGAGAACCTCACTAATAGCATGTCGTTGTGTCCAGAATGTTGGAGGAAGGCCCTGACTAACACACACACTCTCTTTCTCTCTTTCTTTCCTGCCCATCTTTTTCAGCAAACTGCCTAGCTGGGCTAGAGCTGTTGTTCCCAAAATATTTTATGTGACTGAGAAGGCTTGGAATTATTACCCCTATACAATCACAGGTAAGTCCTTAGACACATCAGCCACACGCAGCAGGTACAGAGCTGGGCCGGTAATGGGATATCACTGAGAGAGGGCAGGCTTTCCCCACAGGGCTATCGAGAGGCTTACTCATCCACGTTTTCCCGTTTGTCCACAAACAAATTGTTCGCTTTGGCTTGTTTGTATTTTGCTTTGAGTTTCTCTCTCCTCTCACAGAGGATGTGAAAACCTTTAATATACCAAATCAGACACAATACCCCCTGCCCAGATTCTGATGCTTTGTCCCGTGTCTCATACACACGGGATCTCATGGTCCTAGTTCAGCATCTTTGTAAACGTTGTAATTGTTTTAAAATGCAGAAGAAGAAAAGAAAGAAAGAAAAAGCTGCTTTTCAATTGAAAAGATTTCCTTTGTGGTTAGGGAAATGTTCTACTGGGATTATTAGTCTTTTATTCGGCTTTCGCAATGCCAACACTTGGTTTTTTTAATTAGCCACAAACCTATAGGCTAATTGGATCTTGTATAACTGACCTGATCTGCCAACCACAGGACTGCCATAAAACATAGAGACAACCAATATTTACAGAAACCTAATTTTGGGGACATTTCTTTAGCTCGTTTTTAATAATTACAACTTGTCAGGAACCATTGGTGGTGTGGTTTGTGTTCCGGGAATCTGGTCTCATTTGTTTTCTCTCTTTTTCTTTTCCCTCTTTGCCAACTGAACGTCTGGAATCAGAATACACAGTAAGTTCACTTACTTTAATTTTCAAAAATATTCTGCTTGTGATCTATGAATTAATTAGAATCTTCTTCATATTTATCTAGTTAATATAGTCGTTTTTTAAAAAGAATAATTCAGAATTAGAAATATTTAAATGTAGGCTATTATAATTTTATTCATATATATATGTATATATATATAAAACCAATAAGTTAAGTGTTCTCATTTTTTTCAAGAATATTAATGTAATTAAAGTGCCTTAATAGTCGCTTTACATAATTAGCTTCAGCTGTCCATTCTTACATAGCCTGATCACTTTATTGATGGTAGCTCACTATAATAAGAGTGTCTCCAAATGTGGTGTGAAAGACTGTGGTTTTGGTGGGGGGAGGGGCTTTTATATGGGGGAGGTGCGTATGCAAATGACCACACTAATACCAGAGTGCTCTGTCTCTGTGGCTTGATGAACTAATTGAATTCCTTCCTGTTCTAAGAGACAGGCAGACTGCCTTGCTTGGCTTCCTGTTGCTGTGATAAAACATTGACCACGCGCAGCTTAGGGGCAGAGAGGGTTTTTATGGCTTACATGTCCAGATCACAGAATACTGCTTGCTCCTCTGGGCGCGCTCGGTCTGTTTTCTGTTGCAACACAGGACCACTTGCCCAGGGGCAGCGCTGCTCACAGTGGAATGGGCTTTCCCACATCAATCAGTAATCAAAGGAATGCCAGATCCCACACACCCATGCTAGGAACCAAATCTGGGTCTGTCAAGAGCGATCGACGGCTGAGCCATCCCCCCAGCCCTTTTCTCTGTATTGGATGATCATCAGGAAGTGGACTTAGGGAGCCTAGGGACATGGCTTATTTAGTAAAGTGCTGGTCTCAAAGCACTGGATCTAACCTGAGTTAGATCCCAGCCCCCACTTAAAAACTGGGTTCGGGCCAGGCGGTGGTGCCATACACCAGCACTCAGGAGGCAGAGGCAGGCAGATTGCTGCGATTTTTGAGGCCAGCCTGGTCTACAGAGCTAGTTCTAGGATAGCCAAGGCTACACAGAGTAACCATGTCTCAAAACAAAACAAAACAAAAAACTGGGTATGGCAGTGTATATCTATAACCCCAGGATTTGGGTCATGGGAAGACAGGCAGATCTCTGATACTCATTGGCTGACTAGTGGGACTGAATTGATGAGCTTAGGTTCGGTGAGAGACCTTGTCTCAAATAATAAGGCAGAGAGCAATCAAGGAAGACACCTAACATCAACCTTTGGCCTCTACATGCACACATATGAACATCTGGATGCACATATGTATCCAAACACATACATACAACCACACGTGAACTCACATAAAGGGGGTGGGCTTTGGAGTTGGTTGAATCCTGTGTGCAGTGCCTCCCAATGGCCTTCCTATATAACCTAGGAACAAGCCTGCATGTAACAAGCCACAGTAACTCCAAGACCAGTCAGGTGCCCACAGAGACTTCTGGAAGGCAGCTCCTGGTTTAATTAGGACTGGCACAGAAGGACAGCTGGGGGATGTTAAATGTATTAGGTGAAAATATAACTGTCATTATTCCCTTTTTTAAATGTTTTATTTGAGCCAGGCAGTGGTGGCACACACCTTTAATCCCAGCACTCAGCAGGCAGAGGCAGATAATCTCTGAGTTTGCAAAGTGAGTTCTAGAACAACCAGGGCTACACAGAAACTGTCTCCAAAAAAAAAAAAAAAAAAAAAAAAAAAAAGAAAGAAAGAAAGAAAGAAAAAGAAATATTTTATCTGTTAGTGTAGCCTCTGTGCGGTGCGGGGGTGGGGTGGGGGTTGTGAATGCTTAGCACACATGGAGAAGTCAAAGGATAATTTTCAGGAATTGGCTCTCATTCCCCTGTGGGTTTCAGGGTGGAGTGGGGATCGTCAGGCCTTGCTGGCAAGTGCTTTATACCCACTGCACCATATCACCAGACCATCATTTCTTTCCTTACTTCCTTTTTTGAAACTGCTCATCCTCCTGCCTCACCTCTTGAGTGACGGGGTTACAGATGCTTACCACCATGCCCAGTGAATTCAGGACTGGGGCTTAAACTGAGGACTTAGCCGAAGCTTGACAAGTCCTTTACCAGCCAAGCTATCACAGCCCTTATGGTATTTTTGTTAATGATGTTGAGTTTGGGGGTTTTATTGTTGTTGTTATCCATTTGTTTGTTTTCCTGAGACAAATTCTCATGTATCTCAGCCCTGGCTTCAAACTCAGCATGTAGCCAAGAATAGCCTGTCAGTACTTCAATGGGGGCCTGTGTTGTACACAGATGTCATGATTGGAACATGTCTGGGAGATGGTGGCATTGACATTAACCTGGGGGATGTCGTCTTAGCTTGGGTGCTAGAACAAAATGCTATAGAATGGGCAACTTAAAACAACAGGATTTTGTTTTGTTTTGCCCTCCCTGGAGGATGCAAGTCCAGGATAGGATCAAGTTAGCAGCCAACTGTTCCTGGGGTGGTCTTTCCTCCTGATTTACAAATTGTGAGCCTCTCTCCACACCCTGACATGGGCGGGAGAGAAAGCACACTTTCTGTTCTCTCCTTATATGGAACTAATCCCATATGGGGCCTCCATCTTACTGATGATATCTAAACCCACTTCCTTCTTAAGGTCCCAGCTCCAAATGCTGTCACATTGGGTGTTAGGACTTTAACACTGGAGCAGGGAGTGTATAGAATGCTGATTTAGACATCGTGGGGATGGAGAGGTACTGCTGCTAGACCCTGGTGAGCAGGACAGGTTGAGGTCAGGTCAGAGAGCTGCAAAATGCCAGGTCAGGATTTGCATTTACTCCATAGGGAAACTGTATCCTTCCTGATGAATATGCCTTTATTTTCCATTCCAAAATAGGCCTGCTTTTCTTTCCATTTCCCTAGTCACTGGGGATCTGAAATGTTCCCTCTGGCTCCAGGTGCACTCCTGTAGGCCTGAGTAGCACATCCTGCATCCGCCCCCACCCCAGCACCCCGGCTTGGGCTTGGTTATGTTCTCACGCTCTCTGCCCACCCCTTATTCTGAACATGGCTCTGCACCCGGGACGGCTGGCAGATGCTCTCGATTGCCTACATTTCTTCCTGTCTACAATGCTGTCTAATTGAGTTCTTTATCCTCCAACCCTTTAATCTTAAATACCTCTCTCTCTCTCTCTCCCTCTCTCTCTCTCTCTCTCTCTCTCTGTCTCTCTTTAATGTCTTTCTCAAGTTCAAGATTTCCTGACCTATATCCCAGAGCAGAATTTCTCCCAACTAAGAATGCTATGAGATCCCTTTCTTTGAAAGGCTACCCCTGGGGCCTTAAAGACTCCAAACCAATCCCCTTGTCCATCCACCATTGCCCAGGGCTATGATAAGGTCTTTTTTAGATCAGGCTGGCCTCAAACTCACAGAGATCCACCTACCTCTGCCTCCCAAGTGCTGGGATTAAAGACAAGTGCCACCACTGCCTGGCTCTATAATAAGGTCTTTATCAACAGATCAGCCTGTCACTTGGATTTCATCCTGCCCTCACTGGTGGTAAAACCCAAACAGGAGGGCTTTCTAGATTGGGTGATTCAGATGTCAACCTGATCCCAGTTATCAAGACATAAAAGTTTTTTTGTTTTTTTTTTTTTTAATCACAACAAGTGAATTATGTGGAGACGTCACTTGCTCAGGAAGTGGAAAATATCTTTAACCTGATTATGGGGGGGAAATCTTAATCACAAAGTACACAAAGAACAACATGCCAACATTCTTCCAGAGAGTAGACCATTTAAGCAGCCCTTTGGAGCTTCTAGATCCTTCTGAAGTTTATCGGGTCCCAAAAGGAAGGTATTGAGGAGACTGGCTGACGTCCGGAGACTGGCTGCTCTCCGAAGTAGTAGTTATTCTAGAACTAAAAAGGGAAGAAAAAGAAAAACCACAACACAAATTCACAGCATCAGTTCACCACCAAAACAGTCTTTAGTGAGAATCCACACGGAGGAGGACATGGCGAAGAGCTGCACCTTTATTTTTGTTTTCATTTAGCCCGATTTGACCTTGAACTAGCTATGCAGCTGAGAGTGATCTTGAACTTCTGGCCCTCCTACCTCTGCCTCCCAAGTGCTGGCATTAGAGGTGTGCATCAGCCCGTTCAGTTGATGCAGCTTTGGGGATTAGACCCAGTGCTTTGTGTATGCCAAGCACACACTCACCAAGCTAGCTGCAGCCCCAGCCCTGGACACACCTTTCCAGTACTTAAAAGTGCAGCTGTTCCACAAAGAGGCAATGCTATAAGGGACAGTCTACTCTTACACATTTGAACGACTTAGGTGAAAGAGGGGGACAAAACTGTAATAGGCTGGTCACCCAAGGAGAACATAGGACATCTTCCCAGGAGTGGCAATAAGGAGACAGATCCCTCCCACACCTTCCATGGAGTCCCAGCCAAAGGGTCATGTAAACTACTAAATTACATAATGAGAGAACCAGGGACAAGGCTGGGGAAGGATGTGTTTATTATACCAGACCTCGAGGAAATTAGAGAACCATCTGGCTAGCTATGGAAGTAAAAAGAATGAAGGTCTCCCAGTGTCCCTTCGCCGGGGTCACGGAGACATGGTTAGCTGGTGAGAAAATGACTTTCATCTCTGTCTCACAGCTAACCCTGCCTATCTGGCACGGTATGTAATTTTGGATGACTGGACCTATCACACTTAAGGGGGTGAGGCAGCCTGGGGTTACTGTTGTGGTTTGAGTATAAACTGTTTGGGGACAACTTTTAGAAGGTGGGCCAATCTGGCAGAAGTGGGTCACTGGAAGTAGAACTTTGAAGGTTATACCTAGAACCTGTTGAAACCTCTCCCCGCATCCTAATCTACCATGATGTGAACAGTCTCTGCTAATGCTCCTACCACCAACATCTGAACTGCTCTGCCATGCATTCTTCTCTATGGCAGATGGAGCCCTCTAAAACCATGAGCCAAGATAAGTCTCTCCTATGAATTGTTTCTGTGGACA